CCCCCCCCCCCCCCCCATAATTACCGTACTATACCTGGTACTGTGAGCACCATTGTCTTATAATAAGTCTACAACTGAAAGATATAGAAAAGCGGTATCTTGTAGTATTGTATTTCGTTAAATTCATTTTTTTAGCCATGGTGTCAATGTTACGATCACCTTCTGTCTGTATGTTACACAATGTCTTGGGAACAACGTGAACAATCGAGAGAACGACGACGTCAAAAAAGTCAACAAATCGACTTTGAAGAACCGTACAACGTACCAAGTTCAGAGTTCGAAACGTTCCAAGCAGAACAGCATCGTCCTCGTCCAATTCATCGATCGTATCCTCAGAGCTTTTATCCACGTAGTGTAACTCTGCCTCCTACGACGACCCAACAAACTCAGAAAAACGTTCATTCAGCTGAGAATCAGGGAAGAATCCGTGAACCATCAGTGCCGCGTCTAAAGTTATAGTCATTATTAAATAGTAGTATAGTTATAGCATAGTTAAGACGATATTATGAATGTCACCAAATGGCACCAAATGGAGCAATACTACTTGAAAAAGATTATTCTGAGCTATGAAGCTGATAATGAACTTATTCAAAAGATCATCGCCCTAGGCTATTTTTTGACTTCGATCTGAGGCGAATCTATCTAACTGGCTTACGGGACGAAGCGTAAAGAACTGAACTGGAAACTCAGAAAAGCAGAATGAACAAAGATTTTTAATAGTGTGGATTATTAGAGTAATCTATTGGTGAGAAGAAGAGTTGTCTAAGCCAGTATCTCAGAATTTATGCAGAATAGTAATCTTCGCAGAGTTGGCCATGTTCGACCTTCTCTTTATCTCGGCACAGCTAGACTTGTGTTTTGTGCTGTTTTAAGCCTTTCCAGGATTCACAGCTTTATTCAGCCTACATTTCGGCCTCTTCACCTTCTTCAGAGCATGAATGCCGAAAANAAAACGATTTGAGATTGATCCTCACGGTGGTCTAGACTATACTCAAAACAGTCCTCTAAACCAGTAGATCCCCCTGGACTCGATCAATACAAGGGTGCTGCATGGCTTACCCCGATATCAGAGGCCAACCACTAGGACAACCCCGCAAGTATTAGGCTAAAATGGCTAGCGCCCTGCGAACGAGCTCTTATATACCCTATGAAACGGTGATTTCCAAAAATTTTCGCTAAAGGGGCATGGGATTCGATATACCAATCACTAGTTTTAGGGTAGTACTCATGGTATCATTTGGTATCTCAACGAAAACTCCTCCCCTCTTCAGCATCTTGACAGATCACCGAGTCAATTGACATCGATTTATTAGGTAGAATAGATGGATTGGGTCAGATTGGTTTATAGGCCTTGTTTTGTGCCGGCTTGATTTCATCCTTTACTCCGCCTATTCCAGACCCTCCAAACTATCGTAATAGGAACTTGTATAATAGAAATAATCCTTCCTCCATACCCCCTCCCCCATCTGATGTATAATGGTACTTTCAAAAAGCCGGTGACCATTTGAGAATCCTCTACCTTCTTTCCTTGAAGTCTACTCTTCATGTCTGTATGATGTTTTTCGTGACCACCTTTTTGTTAATAAATGCTGCTTGAATTCCATCCTAGAATTCCACAAATGGTCAAAAAAAAACTCAGCTGTTTCCTACGTAATCATTGGGCCAACTGCACCGCAACCGCTCGCTTAATTGTCATGAGTTGCGGACGTGGTATTCTTTGCAACATTGCTATCTGTTCAATTTTTTCTGAATGTTCTGTAAATACTACGTGAACACGAACATTTTCATTGAACAAGTGGATTGCGAGTAATTTTGCAGCGAATTCGAACACATTGCGATAATTCGTTCAATTTTCAACTTCAAACAAGTATCGACTTTAGTGGCAGCAGTGAACAAATACGAGCAAATACGTAAAAGGCCTTGAGTAACGGTCCCGTAGTGATAAGGCTATGAGAATTACGAATGAGGAGGATACGGTATGAGTGAATACAGTGACCCTTACAACAAAATATGTATATTTACATAGTGAAAATGATTAAAATCTCAGCCATCTACGAACGAAAAAGAATGAAAATGAAGGAAAACACGTCGTCAAGAACGTTTGCCGAGAGACCAATTTTTTTAGATATGCGATTCACACACGTAACCAAATGAGGTCCTGAGAAGAATTATTGATCTGCATCGATATGAAGATGATCATCTTCTGTACTACAATCGTCATCATCTTCCATATCACCCGATTCTGCATTTGGATCAACCATGGCAGAGGTGTTATCGATCGAATTATCGACTGATAACGGTAACAAATTTGGCATTGACGATGTAGCGTGAAGGAACGGATTTGCCAAAAGAGCTGGGAGAACGGCTGATGGATTGGGTAGCATTTCCTGTCCTCCGTTACCGTCTTCCATTCTCATCGATGGAGCTGCTGCTGCTCCACTCATCATCAATGCCATCAGTTGTGCTTGATTGTCGGCATTCAGCTCCGGGAATCGACCACTCTAGAAGAAATAGAGCAGTCCGCATTATAAATCGAAATTTTCCTAACTGTAATTAGTAAAAGCCGGTTTCTACCGTACACGCCATACCGTATCTTCCTACACTCGCTTCCTACATTTTACTTATAATTAAGAAACGTTTGAGAATCCTATCCACCAGGTGTCTTAGAATTGAACTTCTACTAATGTCAATGACTTACTGGATAGCCTTTTACCAGGCAGTTCGTATTGTGTACAATCCCTAGATTTTCTCGATCTTGACATATTGATATTCCCAATCGATACTGATCGGGATCCAAGGAATCACTCCCTGTTCAACAAGAACAAAATGTTGGAAATCAGAAATCTACCTGCACTAACAGTCTCTACCTGTTTCTGGCTCTACTTGCCACTTTGAATCCCTCAGAAACGAAGATCGATAATTTGATGCAGATCCCGCCCACTAACCCATGGCTCCACCCATTGACATGCATAAGGTGCAACAACGCAATATGGCAACTGCGTAGAGGCCGCTCATCTTCTACTTTTCATATAAAGAAGGAAAAAACAGTTTGATTATAAAAGGTAATACCCAGTAGTAAAGCAGCATTTGAAGCTGGGGAATAAGAAAAAAGAACAAAATGTTGGAAATCACAAATCTACCTGCATTAACATTTGCAGCAAATCGGTTGGGTTTTCCATGGCAGGAACTGCTGCTTGTGCTGTGACATCAGGCATGCCATTAGTTTTCTTTTCGCCTTCACTTGCAAGGTCTCCGTTAGGCATCGGTGCTATCTGAAGCAAAACTGCAATGTAGCGAAGAATACCATTTTCTCCTTGTTTGGTGATTTCCTAACCATTGTTTCTTGACTATTCAACATCGTGTTAGATTTTGACAAAACAAGCAATCCACCATTTACCCTCAAGACCATGTGCGGAAAAGTTCAAAACGACCACAGTGGTCATCATCATTGAAATCATTGACAAAGGGACTAGACTAGTAGATTCATGAAGTTCAACCGATCTATTTTGTTTTTGATACCGATATTTTCCCCCAAGGCCTAGCTTCCAGTGTTGTCTGACTAAAAAGTCCGGGATCTTATGAGTCTATTCCGCTGTTGAAGCTCCGCTTCAGAAGTTCCAGTCATTCTAAGACAATTGGTTAGATGGCTGGTAAAGGAGCTACTCTATTTCCCCTCTAAAATTTTCCTCTGCCACACATACCTGATCTTGGATTTTCTTCATTTCGTTGAGATTCTTCACCCTACGCAGATATGCAATCCGATTGTCAACTTGTCTGCCAAGACGTGGATTATGCGGAAGGCCAAGGCGTCGGACCTGCAAGGTTCAAAGGTTGGGAAGTCATCAGAGAGGAATCACCTCTATACCCCTGATTGTACGATTTATCTGATTTTAGTGATTGTATCCTATACGAAATCACTTCCAAGCATATTCAGGTCTTTCACAACCAGGTTCAATGGCGCCTATAGACTAGCCTGAGGTGAGAGGAGATTAACTAGTGCTTCGCCCAAACCTTTCGAGTCACTGTAAAAGCAGAACACGATTTCTGAGGCCCCAACAACTCTGAATGGGAGACGACTACATGGTGCACCCCAGGGGAAGTTCTCCTGATCTTTCTCGTCTTTCACCATGCTTCGACCAACTCGAACACTAATGACGATAAGTAGCACTGCTTTTAACACACACACCACCTACCCATGAAGAGTCCATCCCAAATTTTTCGCCCAGCTTAGCTCACTCCCAACAAATTCCACTTGATCCATTTTCAGGTAACTAACAACGGTAACCAACGGGCTAGAGGATCAGGAATATATAGTTTGGAATAGTATATTGGTTGTACTGCAGTATAAATCGGTCCCTTCAACTGAAAAGTAAGGCTCTTCCCTTGCAGTTTGAGAACATCCCGCTTGTACGATTTTTTTTTCGAGTAAAAGGTAAGAGTAGGTAGAATACTGTCGCTTACGTGGAACACTTGAAAGACTTTTTTTCGGAAAATTTACCTACCTCCTCTTCGAGTTTTTCCTGTCGAACAGCGTTATTCCAATCTTCATAGAAAGAACGATCAACGATTTCTCTCAGGGTTCTAAAATACATGGTTTTGGGTTAATCAGTGAGGTTACAATGATCTGCAACTCCTACTTTGGTAGTCCTGCATGAGTTCCAGGTGTGCCCACTGGCTCCATAGCATGATTATGACCGCCTCGTTCTTCTACGATTATGAACTCATTCATTCTTCGAGCTCTGACTCGATAACGGCACTTGCTTTGTAGACGATTTATGCACTCGTAACTGGAAATTTTCAAATGAAAGAATGAAGGCTTGTCGAGGATTTGTAGAAGTTTTCTTTTCAAAAGGAATCACTCAAGACGGAGTGCCCTCATAGACAAAAGGTGACGGACTCCTCTATCTTCCATCAGTCTTCGAAGAAATAATTAGACAGATGGTATTGAAATGCCTGGAGACCCCACCCCCTCCTTATTCACAAACTCAAATCATGAAAGTGATGGTGCCCGGAGGCCCATGGTCACCCAGTGGGAATCTCGCCAGAGTATTTGACGTATCAAACCGTCTCAACTTTTCACACAGCAAGGTGATGGAACACTCACAGCAAGTCCATCGCCTCGCTCGGAATACATAGAATTTGGGAGAAAACCTGTTCCTAAAAAACGGTCCTCAATAAAGAAAGGTGTAGTCCACTTTAGTTATCTGTAGTCGTCACTTTACGACCTACTTAGGTAAGGTATGTACACGGGAGTGAAGGTGGTCCCAGGGAATAAACGGAAGAGATGGTAAAGAAGTAGGGAGAAGATTACTGGTGAAATCGAGATGATGAATCACCCATCTCGATTTCACCAGTACACTTCTCCCTACTTCCTTACCGTCCTACCTTTCACCAAGGAACACCTACCAACTGAAGCTAAAGGATGTCCTTGTGTACCCCACCCGCACACAAGTAAACCTAACAGGTTTAATAGGTTCACCCAGGACTAATAGGTTCACTCTTCCATATCTGTTCCTCTTGGGTCCAACTTCTGTGTTGGGAGCGTCATCTAAGGAGTATTCGTGCAAGAGAGATAGTCACGGGGTAGTGGGATGGTCTTGGAACTAAGTCTACGAGGCCAAATCAAAGACCTGTGGTTTTTGAACAATAACTTACTATTCATATCCATCAAGTTTTTTATCGTCTCTTGCCATCACGTATAATGAATAAATGAGCGCATCGAATTCTTTTTTGTTCACGGTCGTAAAACATTCATGCCATGGTTCCTGGCGATATGGCCTGGAATTATTATGAGTGAGGTCTGTAAGTCTAACTGGAAGCAAAAACTGATACGACCCGAAAAAAATCTTCAAAAAAAGGCGAAATAGACGGCAAATAAACAAGTAAACGACTATAGTGAGTAAGATGATACCTGGGTTCTCTTCCGCCTAGTGACGGCTGTGTTTCCGTGGCACCATCGCTATTTGGACTTTGATTCCTAGGTGTGTCACTGTCCGAAGATCCCGCAACCTTTGCGTCCACCGGCGTCTGAAATACGATTCAAAGCTAAGCTTTAGTACTGCGATATGTGAGCTATCATCAAAACTCGCGTTGTCAATAATGAATTTAGACCACTCCCACTCCATTCTCGATTTGCCTTTTTTTCTCGAAAATTGCTGCCGGAATCAGTCGAACACTATCTACAGTACCACCAACCAAGTAATATTTGAATTGGAGATGGTAAGATTTCCCAAACAGTATCCCCGAAGTTTTTTCCGATTACTCGGGTGCAATGAAACTCCCGGGAGTTCTTATCAGTCAGTGCTGAAGTTATCAACTCACAAGAAGCCTAATACCGGTAATTGGAAGCAACGAACTCAGATGATTCAACACTGTTTGAAATTAGATCAAGATAAAATGAGATAAGGAAATGCTTTCAATTTTAGGGAGCCCAGGCAATAGAGAGATGGCAAAATTGTAAAATAGGTTCGTTTTTGATCACAGGGGAAATGTAGTAACAACGAAAAGCAGACCGAAGCCATCTCTTCCGAACGGAATTCAAAAAATTCTAACGAATTGCTCAATTCCGATGGTGACTGAAGCCTACATTCCAGCGGGAATCAAGAGAATTCTTAAAATTTTCTCAACTCTAGAAACGAAAAAATGCTTTAAACGGTGATTTGGTGGTTGGAGGGACCTGGTTAGGGAGATGAAGTTCCCTCAGGTACACAGAGTGGTATAAGTGGATAATTTGGGGCCGACCACCTTGGTGGAAACTCTAATTGACTAGGGTGAGAAGGATCATTTCTGGCCTTTTGAAAAGGAGTCGTCAGTGGAAGTTCCCTTTCGCTTTCTAAGTGAGATTACATTTGATTTCCTTATACCGTACCTATTTACCTACATTGTACTCGGAGACGACTCCTTTTCTTCAACCATCATCTGGGGGGTTGATACCACTGGCGGCCGCACGTAGGCCACATAGGCCTACAGCTAACCGGCCACTTTCCATTTTGTATGATAGAAATGAAGTGTAACTTTGCGGTATGGTATCTACTTGCGTGAAGAGAAATGCCTAAATTTTAGAAAAAAGGACAGAACGAGTCCAATCTAGGTTCTTTCCCATTTTGTTCTCGAACGGTTGAAATTCCAGCATGAAGAGGAATAAATCCTTCAAGAAGCTTGGAAGTCTCGCCATCTACCACATTTTCCACTTTGTATATAGAAGTGAAGCGTAACTTCACATATAGTAGCTACTCGTATGAAAGGAATGTCCTTTCCTGATGGGCGTAACCATATGAGCCAGAGATTGTCATGGTTGGCGTCTACATTAGAAAAATTTCGTTCTATATTTAAGTTTTTTTCTGACAGCCGGAACATTTCATTTGCTCGCTTCATTGGCCAGACCAATAAAAATCCATCGACTCATTCCAGAGCATTCCTACAACCGAAACTTGGGCAATCGTGGAAAGAACCTTCTTAGAAGCTGTTCAAATTCTTCGATTCCTTCTTGTCTCACGCCTAGAACTTTCACCCACCGAAAAAATCCTTTCAAAGTAACCTACCGGGTAATTGAAAGCTGGTAACTGTTGGAATACAGTACTCATTAGATCGTTCATTGTGGGCATCTTTTCCGGTGATCGTTGTAATGATTGTAATGGCTGCAATTTGAATTGATACATACGGAGGTCATTCCAAACGTCACCAATCTCCTCCCTTCAACCTTGAGCTTACCTGAGTAGCAGCGAGAAATTGATGTAAACCACTGAGCGCATTATCCTCAGCGATTGCCATCACCTAAAAGCAGTAAGTAACTTACGGAGTCAATTAGGTAAGCAACCACCTGACAAAGACGAAAATGTAATTCAAAGAATGTACGGCGTAGAGAAAACCATGGGGCAATGAAAATGCATTCATCGCTTATCGGACAATGTCAGTCGCTTTCGTTTCACTGAAACCGAAGATAAAATTGCGAACCGCAGAATGCAAGTTCTCGGCCGTCGTCCCACGAGGTGATGGGACGGAGGTGGCGCTAATGGGTGAAGCGAAAATGAATGATGATAGAATAGGAACCGTAACGAACAGATACGAAACCGTATAATCAGCACATATTAGCTTATTTATTTGTTTGTTTACTCAATCTTTTCATCGCCTGAATGTATCACCAAAGGCAAAATACAGAGCATCAACCAAAACAAAGTATAATTCAAACAGAACTGGACTAAGCTGGCAGTAACCTCTACCGAAACTTTGATATAAGAGAGTGAAAGATGGAGAGACTGAAGAGGTTGATGATACAGCCATAGGTACGAGCTGATCCCGATTAGGTGAGTGGTATCGATGACCCATCGAGGTTGTAAGATATTTGATCTGGTAGTTTACCATCGACCCATTCCAGGCCTGGCTTCAAGAAAAGCTTTGAGACCTTGATCCGTCCACTGAATCAACAGATCCTACTAAACCCATCACGCTGCCGAGACAGCAAGGAGAGCGTCACGACACAGGAAACCGTAAAAACATCTACGAGCTATCATATTGAACTATATAGCAGCTAACTGATTCGGTAGTTCAGTTGATAAGCATAATACCCAGAAACCAGAAGTCTGGGTTCAACTTCTGGCCATGACGGCGATTATTACTCACAACTTAGCAACATGGCAGTTCCAATTAAGCGGTCAACCAGCAGCATGGGACAGTTGAACATGGATCGCCACGAAATCGGTGAAATTCTCAAAAAATAGGCAAAACTGTCGTCCAAAAGAACTCGAGGACAAAGATCATAATTGTTGATAACTCATAGTACAGAGAAGAGTCGTAGGAAACTAGTCAAGTTGAAATTTTTTGCAAAATATTTGCGCTGCTATCACGTGCTTGGTACAAAGATCAGTACTCGAATCAATACTCATACTACGAGGCCAACAAACTTGCCCTTCAGACCAAAATCAATTAGTTGGTTGAAGATGAGTTGATAGGCTTCGCAAGCTGACTATACCAGTCAATGGATTCTGGTCAGATGGACAGTCTGATGAATTGGCTAGCTCCCAATTGCACATGGTAATTATTGCATAACAAAGCCTGTCCTTTCAACCATCATCTAGAACTTGGATGGAAGTCAAATAGGTGGCGCAATTTAGACTAGGACTGATTGGTGCCTTTCCCCCGTTGCCGATACTCCTGCTCAGAACAACAATTGAAGGCCTATTTCTTCCTAGGCCTACCTTTCAATCCATCATGTTCGCCGGTTTAAGAAACGATAGGATTGGACTTAATGTCACATCCCATCATTTTCTCTAGCCAGTCAAGGAATGTAGAGATAAAATGAGCAGAATTGGCGCGGAATTTATTTGTCTATTTCTGACCACAAGTCCCAGAGAGTCTCTGAAATACTTTATCACACGGAACTAGCAGAAGAGTAGTTCATAAACCTCAAAGTGGTGGGAATAGACACCTCAAAGTTGGGATTGAGGTGTCTATTCCCACCTCAATCCCAACTTTCCCATTTGAAGGCGATAAAAAGAATCGTAAGTATGTGGG